CCCCAGATGATGCGACCTCGGCAGGAGACAATACACCTCCGACACTGACGCTTCACTTCATTGTGACGATCATAATCAGGAGTCAAATGACTATAAAGTTGCTGGCTACGCCATCCAACAATGACGGCTCTTGTTTCTGATGTTTTTAAAGATCTCTACGGTCACTCAAGCTTACGTGTAACAGCATGTTGTTCAGGCATGCTCATGTACAGGACCCGATGTATGCAACATAAAACATGACAGTTGTCCGTGGCGAACAGTACAATATACATACACTGCGAACCATGCTTACCTTGGAGAGCGTGTCTGAAGTATTGCCCATCTTCAAAGCCTCGAATTCTTGGGAAAGCTTTTGGAAATCCGCATTGATAACCACCAATTTTGAGCAAAGGCTTTTGACGTAATCGCGGCGTAATCGAGTGACTTCATTCGACGTATAGGCCTATGCGTTATTAAATATATGTTTGTAAGTAGCAATAATGATCTTACCGATTCTGAGACAGTCTTTACAAGATCCTCAACATTGGACTCTGTGTCGGGTGGTACGGACTGAAGGACAAGCTCCAGCGCCAAACGCAGCTGGTCTTGCAATAAAATATTCGATCTCACAAGTGCATCTATGTCGTGTTAGATAACGAAAAGGCACGTACCATGAGCACTTCTGTACAGATGAATTACTTCATTTAGCCTCCATATGGTTTCATTAGTCCCCTGCAAGCCATCATCGTCAACGACAACAAACTCAGAGCATTCCGAGCTCATCCTCTTCGTCACTTCCTCACAACAATATAACCGCAAAAATCAAACCTAATCCCAAGGCCACTCGTTTATATCTATTTACATAAATTCTAAAAACAAACAAAATGAAGAAACTGGCTGCAATATCAAGGCAGAACACTGAAAAATTCAACAGGATGCACCAAAATATCATATCCATAACCGTATTCGTCGTCCGTCTGCGTTTTTCTCCTTAAATCTCTCAAATTGCATTCAAACCCCTAGACTTCTGAACAATGCCTAAGGAGTTTTTTCACTGTC